AACTCCGTTAATAAAAAAAAAAAAAAGTTTTTTTTTTAAATTGTTTTAGCCTGCGCTCGCAAAAACGACATGCGCCATGACGATAAGATTTCGGCGCTGCTTGACTGGCCACTTAGGATCTAGCGGTAACAACGGCAAATTTAGCCCGTCGCTATTTTTAGCAAAGATCCTAAAGAGTTCGCACAAATAAAAAATGGACCTTTTCCAGGGTGCTATCGCTTTTGCATCCTTCGCGTCTCGTAAGCGAATACACACTATTCAATCCCCGCCCCCCCCCCCCCCCCCCCCCCCCCAAAAAAAAAAAAAAAAGCGTTTGTTGCTTCTGCATTAGACATTTTTATAGCAACTCCGCAACCATCGGGTCGAGACCCGGTATTAGCGAGTTTAGTATTGCGAATACGACCGAACGCGAGCACTGTACGTTTGAGAGTTGCGTGTTCCACACGGCGCATGTGCGGAGCCCGAAATTGCGGCAGGCGCAGCGTGGAGCACGCACGGAAACGCCACACGACGTGCCGACAGCCAATCTTCGCCGGCGTCGCTTCGATCGTAAAATTGCCGTTCCGTTCGCGGACAGTAAATTAGGGAAAATGATTCGGATCATGTCGCCTTAACCTTCCCTAATTATAAATTAGGGCGAAACGAGAAAGGACTGCCGGCACGCAGTTTGGGTTTATTCCCGCGAAGCTGATCGAGCGCAAGGAACCGCCCAATTAAAAGGGCTAAGTCGTATGCATCCATCTATTAATTCAAGTCCCCCAAGCCTACAGTCGGCGACAAGATAAAGGGAAACTTCAAGAGGAAAAAAAATGTGCTCTTTAAAGATAGAAGACAAACACGGGCGCTTATACCTCTCTCATTAGCGGGCCGCTGGAGAGATGATTGGCGTGTGAAAGGTTGGTTGTAAATTTGTATACTAGGTGCTTACCTCTCTCATTGTCTGGCCACTGGAGAGATGATCGACGTGTGAAAGGTTGGTTGTAAATTTGTATCTCCGTGCCGTAATAGTATTTTAATCTACTATTTGTTTATGCTTGAGAAGCAAATAATCAAGATAAAGTCATTCTTGTTTTTAAATGTATTTATCCCGCTTTGGTTTGAAACTTTAACAAACGTGGCTGCCGGCATCTGTAGATTGCTGAACGAGCTTAGCTCGTTAAGATCGTCAATTTTTGTGAGTACGAATAGTTTTGAGTTTACGAAGGTGTTTAGAGGAAGATCTCCTCAATCGACGTAGTCTGCAGCACACAACTGCCGCAAGTACGAGCCTTCGGAAGCGCTGTGCGGATGCTTGTTCTCGTAGTGGGACGTTTTAGATGCGGAGCATCTCTTGCTCGGGTCTATGTCCCGCGGCGTCGGCGTCGTAGTCCGCACTCACACTACGCATGCGCAACTCTCCTCCTTCCCTCTCTCCAACAGTTGCGCGTTACTCTCTCCGCTCTCTCTACCAGCTGCGTGCACTTCGCGTGCGTTCGCTTCTACTCGCACCGCGCGCGCATGCGCAACTCTCCTCCCTCCCTCTCTCCAACAGCTGCGCGTTACTCTCTCCGCTCTCTCTACCAGCTGCGTGCACTTCGCGTGCGTTCGCTTCTACTCACACCGCGCGCGCATGCGCAACTCTCCTCCTCTAGTCTCCTCTCCTTCAAGTGTGATTATAAGCAGCGGTAGCGCGCTGCGCGCGTTCAGTTCAACCGCTGTTGACTCCACTTCACTCCGTTCTTCCGATGAAGTGTGATGGAAGCAAAAAAATTACACCATCTTCCCGAGGGGAACCATGGGGTGATGCGGAGCATCGCGGAGTTTCCAACAACGTTCACGCGTTGTGTGGTAACCAACGCAAGTTAACAACGTAATAACACGCAAGTTAGCAACGTTACTAACACCGTTAATAACGATCCGCGATGCTCCGCATCACCCCATGGTTCCCCTCGGGAAGATGGTGTAATTTTTCGCCAAATTACCCTTCCGTGGTGGGCGCCCTCATTATTTTTATATATAATTAGTTTATTTTTAATGTACTTTATAAATAGTACATTAGGAATTAAAATTAACAAATAACCGTCTTACTAAAAAAATACGAGTTGGTCGTGAAAAATACATAGCTACCTTTTCAAACAGGCTTCTTTCGACACCAGCTGCTTGGAGTAGCCTATACTTTGAAGCCATTTCCAAGCGAAGCCATAAAAAGGCCGAGGATATCTAAGCACTTACGAGTTGTGAATGTGAAAGCATGAATGTCTTTCTTCCGCTCTCTCAGTTCGTCTGCGGCGTACGTGGACGGCCACGTTTCGCCGACCGATGGCCGAGCGCGCGCTATCGTGAAGTGGCCGCGCCGCGCTGAGCTCGGCCGTGCAGCCTTTCCGGAGTTTGACCGAGAGGGCTGTGAGGCGAGGCCATGGAGAATAGAAGGGTAGGAGAGGGCATGACGTCGGCCGCGTAGCCTCAACAAGCCATGCTCCCTTGACGCCTCGCCTCTTTCTCATTTCCCTCCTTACTCTCCTCACTCACCATGCCAACGTGACCACATCACGTGACCGTAGCTAGCCTTCGTCTTACTATACACGTTTGCAAGTCCGGTCTCAGGGCGCCGCCATCTTCTTCAGTGGGGTGCGCTCTTGGCGCGGCCATAATCCGATTACGACGCCTTAGCAAGGCTTCGTAATTGGATTATGACTCGTCCGAGCGCACCCCAGCGAAGCAAGATGGCAGCGCCCTGAAGCCGGACTTGCAAACGTGTATAGGCTACTAGAATACACCACAGTCTAGCCTTCGATCTGATAAAACCTACCGGACGGAGCGCGCGCAAGCCTGCAAGGAGTCCTTCTACAATCAACCATCCATCTCACACGTGACATGTCACGCGCACCAATCGCCAGACAGATCTGCGGTCACGCTGGGCACAAAATCGTTTAAACTTTTTATGACTAGGCTTCACCAATATTGCAACGTGCCCCCTCCTAGTACTTCTAACCTCCTTGGGCGAGGCCCGCATCGACGCCATCCAAACCAACGCGCGTTTTTGTGCGCGCGGAGGCCGTGCGCTTCCCGTGCGTGCACTGCGCCGCCATGGAGAGGGCTTCTCTGGTGGCATTTTACAGCGAAGCTGTCTATGGCCAAGTTTTGGCCGGTCGTCTCCGGCGACAGACCGAGCGTAGAGGCGCAGCCATGTTCGTTGGTATCGAGAGGAGTAGAAGTGGCCGAGTGCGCGCCACCGTGTTCCTTTTATTGGCGCACTGCCGGCGCGGGGCCCGCAGCGCCGGCAGCGGCACGCTGCGGTGGGGGCTGCAGCGTGTTATAGTTTCTAGAAACTAAGACACGCGCCAGACAATGGGAGAATCGTACTTTAAATTATGACGCGCACCAGCCAATGGGAGCCTATCCATCAAATCGCTGCTACAGACGACAGGCTTCGCTCCATTAGGACAGAGAAATTTAGGTGCCGTTCGGCGCGCGGCTTCAAAAGCTGATAACGCCGGTTCGCTCCATAACACAGTTAATGTTTCCGCATAAAAAAATGCAATCCCCCCAAACTTGTTTAGGTTATTCCCTGACTTCAATTGATCGGTCCAGATAATTTAGTTTTAACTCATTGCATCCACTGCACCATTGAACGGGTGGAACCAATATAAAGCTAGCAACTAAATGAGAATTCCAATAAAAAATAAACATATAGCGCTCTCCATAAAAGTTTTCTCACAATACTCGAGTGTCCCTGGTGAATCTCGAATGTGAAAAAGATATTGTCAGAATATTGCAGTCTATCATATATACTAGCTGAAGTTTTATTCAGAAACCGTATACTATGTCCCGCTCTGGAGGAGAGCCTTTCACTTAGCATGTGTGTGCGTGCGGTGCGGCGAAGCAAGCTATGCAAAATTGCAACACCTACTACGCGGTTGCTGCTTCACCGCAGTAGACCACTGCGTGGTGACCAGACAATGAGCATGAAAAATGTTGAGAAACTTCCAAGTACTGTCATTGTTTGATAGAGAGATTAAATCAAATCAAACATTGGTCATAAAAACTGTCTGCAGTCATGTTTGAGGCATGTATGAAGCAAACATGCCTGAGACATGTCCGCAGATAGTTCCAACATCATGTCTGCAGCGAACATAGTCTTTTTTTGTACGACGTACGAGCGTTGTGACTGTGGCTTAGTAACGTCAGGACTGCTCAGGACATGGAGGGCAACAGGAAGGTGGAGGCAGGTCTGCCTTTACTCAAACTGCGTACAAGAAATGTCCGACACGTCTGGGGGGGCAGCCCTTTGTCACCCCGTATTCCGATGCCAAACAGGATTATAAAGAGGCAACTGTAAATGAAATTTGAAATTTGCAATCACTGTGGCCAAAAAGTGGTTAAACTGGAAACACAATTAGTTTTAGTCAAAAGTCAATAATTACAATAAAAATTATTTAAAAAAGTAAATAAAGTACAGTAATCCCACTACTGTAATTGAACTGCTGCCCAGACATAATCTGAACCAGTTTCCTCTTCAGCATCGAAATGTCCATTACATACTGCAAAACATCACGTGTCTAAAGCTCACAAAATTCAACATGCGAGGGAAATTAAATTAGCACCATCGATCTCTAAATATCCAACATGTAGAATGTATATGCCATAACAAAGTCGGAAGCGCCGACAAGACAGAACACATAGGTGGTATCGGGACCTTTCATACACGATTCTGTCCTTCACAAATCCATGGCACAGCATGCAATCTCCAAAGCCCAGCACGTATACTTTCAACACATTGAAAAAAGAGTAAAGTATGTGCCATTTGCACAAACACTGAAAATGGCTCCAACCAAGAGCTCTTTCTTGGTGTGGTCGACCATTCCAATAAAGGGCTTCTCGGCACTCCCGCTCTTCAGTAGACATGCTAGGCCTCCGCGCTCTTCAAGTGGGTCCTAGCACAAAAACGGCAGCTAAAGAATAAAAAAAAAAAAAAAGAATGCATTTAAAAATAAATGCAAGTAAAACAACACAAGCAAAGATCCCTTGGAAAAATCTTATTTCAACAGGTATGTATAGCTATATTACACATCAGCACAATCCTACAGACCACGCTGGAGCCTCCTTAGGGCAAGAGACGGCTGTACTCGAGGAACAATGTAGACTTCTTCACTGTCTCCCAGAGTCTTGCTGAGTAATGGAACCTGGAACGATATAAAGACAATGATTGATGCATGAACGTGGCGAAAAGCAGTTACATAGCTGTCTTTCCTCTCAGAGGTTGCAACAAAACCTTCCTGATACTGAGAAGTCAAATGAGGGATGCTATGATGTGAAGAGCCTGCGATAGCAAACAGGGTGTTGGAAAGGCTGCCATGTCGCACAGCTTGAATTTCAGTATGGTGGTGAGTTGGTGATGCATTTTAAAAGGGTAAAACAGTGCAAAAAAACATGAACAGGAAGTGCTTCGTTTGTGCACTTCTTTCTGTCCATGTCTTTTTGTGCTGTTTTACCCTTTGAAAATGCTTGAATTTCATTGCGGCACTGGTTAAGTGATATGATGTGATCAACCCCAGTAATTTTGGAGCAGCTTTTGAAGCATATAGACTTTTACGCATTTGTCCTTCCCAGTTCACGCGACAACTAACTTTTGCGCGTGTCCCATCAATATCGTTGTGGGGGGTTTGACTGAAGTATATTGGTTATTTCTCAGACACAAATTTCTCAGACAGTCCATGAATGTATTATATTTATGGACTGTAACCTCAGAAATTTGGATGCACCAGGATGGCAAGTAAACAAAGGATTTGACATAATTAACCTGTAGAGATGCCCAGCTATACCTAATTCAGTGGATTTACAAATGTTGCTACATATATGCAGATATTCTTTCTTCAATCTTGAAATGAAGAAAAAAATAATCGGGAATGATGAATGCACAGGTCGTCAGGGCATCTCTGCCTAACAAATACTACTATTTTTTGTTTTGTTTTAACAACCACTGTTTAATTTTATATCTTTACTGCAATGTAGATACCAACCTTCACAAAGTTTCCGTTGCTTTTTAAATACAACAGGCGCGCGCGTGCACCCTCCAACTCTGAAAGCGTGTTTGTTTTCCCAAGCCCTTTATTGTGATATTCATACTTTTCCAAGTGTTGATCACGGCAGGTTACCCCGTTGAATGCGCTTCTTATCATGTACCGGTGCGCTGCAGCGAAGCAACAGCTGTGGAGCTCACTTGTGTGGGCGTTGCTTCTCCGCAGTGCGCTCGTGCTCAGTAAAAAGCGCGCTCAGCAAGGCTAACCAGCTGCGATTAACACTTAAAAAATAGCGAATATCGCAGTTCATCTCGAAGCAAATTTGAAACTACTACTCGGAATTTCGAATATTCGCACAACACTACTATATACAAACAAGGCCGTAGGCTCCTGTACTGCTTTACTGGATTAATGCCAACACCTGGAGGGGCTCCTTGGCTGCTAAGGCAGATAGGGTTTCCTCAAGATCAAAAAGTGTGAAGGACCCCTGGGACTGCAGGGGTCCATCAAGCTTTTTGCTGGTGAATGTGACTATCTCTGCCAGCAGATAGAATCCATGCAAAAAGGATTTTCTGGTCACATGACTGGCTTCATAAAGACAAGGTATCTAATCTATTAAAACTCTCAGCCTTTCCACTCTGGTGGAGAAAGAAGACCAGCAAAGCTGTACTATGATCAGGCGGCCTCAAGGATGACGAGTTGGACGATTTCAAGGACGACGCCTAAGGACAACGCCTAAGGACGACTTCAAGAACGACGCCTAAGGACGACGCCTAAGGACGACGTCTAGGACGACCTCAAGGACAATGTCTAGGACGACCTCAAGGACAACTTCTAAGACGACCTCAAGGACGACGCCTAGAGGACCACCTCGGAGACGACATCTAGACGACCTCAAGGATGACGCCTAGGTTGACCTCAGGGACGACGTCTAGCACAACCTCAAGGAGGACTTCTAGGGCAATTTCGAAGACAACGTCTAGGACGACCTCAAAGACGACTTCTGGGTTGACCTCAAGGACGACGTCTCGGACGACCTCAAGAATGACTTCTAGGAAGACCTTGAGGACAATCTCTCAGACGACATCAAGGACGACCCCAGAGACGATGTCTAGGACGACCGCAAGGACAACCTCTACGACCACCTCAAAGAGAACCTCAAGGACGATGTTTAGGACAACGTCTAAGACGACACCTAGGACGACGTTTAGGATGACATCTAGGACGACGTTTAGGATGACATCTAGGGCGACGCCTAGAGAAATTCAGCCTTCCCACCCTGGTGAAAACCAAAGTGGAAAGGCTGGAAAGGTTGTCGCCATCTATGTGCAAGGCCGGCAAGCCGATTATCTAATTGCCGCCGTCACTCATGATAGCGGTAGCTGTCCAGAGTTTTGTGTCGGCATTTCTTTGCGAGGGACACGATCGTGGGGAAACTAGCCCGCAACAGCTCCACTGTAAAAAAAAACTCTGCATCAACTACTTACTGCCCCGCTGTCAAGGTTAGTATAGCTTCCACAGTGATATAGCTCACCACTGCTGCTGTGAGAGCACATGGCCTGGTCTTGCATCTCGTTTGCATGAGGTCTCGTGCGAAAGAGACGCCAAACCAAATGATGTGCTCAAGCAAGTAGCCTCAACAGCGTTATGCATTGTGGAAGCTGTAACCGCCTCAACGCAATGCCACTGACCAAGAAACTTCTTTGTTGCGCTGTAATTTCGAGGACAAAACCGAGTGTTTTCATTTAATCTCTCCTTCGCAAAACCTGATGACGTAGCTCGGCGGTAGCAGTACCGCCCAGTGACGATATTTGAATGCGGCTCATAGATCGGACCCGAGCATGGCGTGGACACTCGATTTGGGCTCGTGATAATCGATAGCTCGAGAAGCATTCAGGTTGTGTCCTGTGTCCAACCGCTGCAACGGCGACAATAGCCAAGCCATAACAATGTCTAGAACTCAGCGCGTGGTTTGTGCCTTGCCAACCCCAGCGCGAGGCTATGATCAACATTGGCGACATATAATCGACTCCCGATCACGTGGCCGCTTGTTCTGGCTTGAGTTGAGGGGTGAACTCTGCTCGTTTTTCTTAATTTTGTTCTGCAACTTCGATTGCGTGTGGTGAAGAACGAACGGGTATTTCACAGGTCATTAACATCAGGGATCCGTTCTAAGCGGTATTTGCGCAAAATACAAAAATCGTTGCATCGCCCCTTTAAGCAAGAATTAAAGAAAACAACAGGCAAAGCTTACATCTACTGAGCGGAATTGGGTGGAATGCAAGGTACTTCCCGACCCCTAAGCTGGTCTCGTGACAAGAAAATCTCTCTTGTGGCTACTTTAGCCACATTTACCAGCAAACCGCCCTTGGTCTAGACGCCGTATCCGGGTGCGTCCCAACCACGGCTCTCGGAACCAAACGAAATCCCGAAAGCAACACCTTGGAGCCCTCACCAGTTCTTCTCGGTGAGAGTGGTGTGGGTGAGGTGAGGCCGCGGCATGCCCAGAACCTGGAGCATGAACGAGGAGGCCAAGTGGTCCAGACGTCCGCCATCTTGGAACCCGGGCGGTTCCCCCTCGCTCCTCCTCTTCTCCTCTTGGATCAAAAACAAGGAGCACAGTGTTCACTCGCAAACACAACAGAGACACTGCCCAGCAGTGCCTAGCACAGTGAAGCGATGCTGAAGCCACTCAAAAATCACAAATTTTTTCTTTTTCCTATCTCAAAAGACAAGACTGTGATGTCAAGTCGCTATACTCCAATTTTCGTACTGCAATAGAGTTGTGCATTTGTTGAAAAAAATTATTGAAGTCATACCAAAAAAGAATAGAAACAGCAAGGGACACTGATGCCAGAGTGTATGAGAGTGGTGGGGAGTCTGCTCACAAAACTATATGTGTTCAAATCTTCTATTTATGTATTTACTTCTTTAAGCGCCCCAAAGCATGGCAGTAAATCTGAGACACTGACAGAAAGACGGGTGTGAGCAACCCTTTCTCGGAAATGACCAGAAACAACCGTTATTTACCTTACTTCTATGTATCTATCAAATGAAACAGTGGTTCGCAGTTCCCCATTGGAGCGCTCGGATTCTTTTCTTCCAGTGATATTGCAAGAAAAACAATATTTTTGCTCACACATCAGAAAAATGCCATTCCACTAAAATTTCTACACCACAAGGCAGGGTCCACAGCTTCGCAATTGTAGTCACCAATCGGCAACCGGCAGCCACACAGCAAATGACCCCAAGCCCATTATATCACACTCGGACCAGCTAGTGTAGGATCCATCTCACAAGAATTCAAAGAAACTACAAACCCGCAGTTTTTGTTAGAGCTGAACTGATTACATACCTTGCTCTGAAAGCCTCTTAGGAATGAGGAACAGGTTGAAGGATTGTTCTTCTTTTTTTAGTGAGCCGTTCATGCTGATCTGGCCTAAAGAGTGAAAAAAATAGTAGTATACAGCAGGTGTCGCGCGCAGGACATCACCAAAAGTAGAGCCACCAAACAAGCCACGCTTCCAAGTAACGGCACTTCGGCCATCTTGGTGCTTAAAATCCCTGTTGCCAGCTATCTGAAGCCTTATCTGAAATTGCAGGAGATGCTTTTGCGTCTTCCGGAAATTCAAAACGACTTGCGACAGAGAAAAACAGTATCATCCAAGCTTCCTGACACCGTATCCAAAGTTGAGGAAGTTGCACTTTCGAATGATGGTGATCGCCCATTTCGCCTCCCCTGCCCTAAGCACCAAGATGGCGGCACCCACGAGAAGGTCGGGGAATCGAGTGAGGATTAGTCTAAAAGTAGCTAATTTAGTGGCTCTAGCCAAAAGGGTTGATGCATGTGCTATGTGCAAGATGTTGCCAACATGGGCCAAAACATGTCAACATACATGGTTATGTGATCCTAGCCGGTGTTCAGAGGTACTTTCCCCCCCAAAAAATTTACCCGGTTTTCTATACTGCAAAAATAAACTATGCATCACCGAACACACATCCTTTGCCCAGATGTAGAGCTAAAGGTCCGAACCAGATGCCAAACTTTCAGCAATAACCGTTATCTCATTCAAAAGCTACTGTCGAGACCGGTTATAACGAAGTCGGTTATAACAAAATAGCAACCACAGCGAAGCGATCACGATTCTCCATTCCCATTTGCACTTCGTTAACCGAAGTCGGTTATCACGAAATAGCGGATATAGAGAAGCAATTTCCAATTCCCGTTGACTTTGTTATAAGCCAGTCTCGACAGTATAAGTGGTTTTCTCAAATTTTCAATAAGAAAATGGGGCCCATTTTCCCCCGTTTTCGGTAACTGGCATCATAGAGCTCCGCGCATTATAAGAGGTTCATCGGCCACCCTTTTGCCACTGAAAATTGCAGAAAATCACTTACAACTTTTGAGTAAGATAACAAACAGTTGGTGATGAAGCTTGTGGGAATTCCCTTGCTGCTACCCGTCTCGGAGAATGATACGACGCACTGGTTCAACAACATGCAGCCATTTATTCTGCTATCGCCCGCGCCGCGATCCCACCCCCCATATACGCTGCGATGACCTTTTATCGGCGGAGGAGCTCCGCTCGCGTGGCCAATCACCCTTGGCCCCCTCGCGGTGGAAATGACAACTGACGATTTGTGCATGCAGGCAACCTGGGCCAATGCTTTGGATCCTCACCAGTGTTGCGGAATGGGCACCGCCATTCCATTCCAATTCCATTCCCGGGAATTAGAGTTTTCGATAATTCCATTCTTTTCAACTCCTAGGAATGGGGACACTGGGCCCATTCCCCCTCCTTGAATGGCTGAGTCGCTCCATTCCATTCCTCCAATTCCCAAACGTTAAAAGCATCACTTGACAGCTGCTATACGTTCCAGGGGTGGGCAGAAATGTTCAGAAATGTATTTGGAAATACAAATATTGGGACAGATGAAAATAGTTGCTAAGATACTGATACTCAAGTCTCAAATATATCTATAAAAATGTATTGTGATACGTATCGGAAATACATTTTAAAAAGAGGCAAAAAGTATTTGGAAATACAAATACAAGAATACATTTTCGGGAGGGCAGAAATATAAATACTGATAATACAATACATTTTTCAAATTTCTTTGAGACGCCAACTGAGATGAGGCTTTAAGTTTAAAGTGGAAGTTTCTTTTTTTTTTGGCCCCGAAATTACTTTTTTGCAGGCTTGGCACTTTGCCTTGAAGGTAGTGGTTCCAGACGAAGAGTCCTAAATGGGTTTAAAAAATGTTCCATCAAGGATTGACCGCGCTCCATTCCCTAGCATCCTGTCTGACTGACCAGTGATGCGAAAAGACTTCGACCTCTAAAATAAATTCCATCAAAACATCACCACTTCCCTGTCCAATAAAGACGCCCCTGTCAGCACTGATCACATGACGTCACGGTGGGATGAACTAGTATTCTTGAATCTGTAGGTGTTGCATTGAACATGAAACTTTACCCACGCTGCTGTATGAAAGGAAATGCATACTTTCGTTGTAGCTGACCTCGTTGAAGACCATGAACGCAGTTGCATTTGGAATTTTTGAGAAAAGTGGACTACCTGAAGCATCCTGAAGCACATGTATTATCTTGTGTTATGGTTGAAAAATCGATACGGTAGCATCCCTGTTGTGACAGTCCTTCCTGCCGACTCTCCGCCTCCAACACATGAATGGGAGTCTTCAAGTTTCGCCTAGCATCATTCAAACAGAGACCTCCTGGATTGCGATCTGAGATGGCCGGCACAGGTGCGAGCTCTTCGAGAAACAGCGCGCTGGAGACGACTCGAAAGCGTTCGAAGTCTGGGTCCGCACAGCGAGGCCACGTCTGGCCTCCTTCCTGGGTATCGGATCACCAGAGCAGGAGGTCACATTCACGTCGGCTGATGACGTTAGAGCCGTGCAATATTACAAGCGCAGACGCATTCGGATATGTGTTGAACTTCACTAATGAAAGGCGCCACCGCTCCCCCCCCCCCCCCCCCCCTCTCCTCCCCCCTCTGTTCTTTGCTTTGACGCTTTTTTTTTGTATAGCATTTTTTTTTCTTTTGCGCATAAGTCTGCTAGGGCCTTACGCGGGTTCGCAGTTTCTTGCTCATTTTATTTCTGAACAACCGACTCCCTCACTGGCTCGGTATAGCTAATCGTAAAAAAAAAAATATATATATATATATATATATATAAAGAATCTGGCCTATTCCATTCCCATTCCATCCGGGCAAAAGGCATCTAATTCCATTCTTATTCCATTCTCCTAAACATTGCCGCCATTCCATTCCCATTCCATTCCAAGGTCGCGAAAATCCGGAATGATTCCGGAATCATTCCAACTCCGGAGTGGCAACTCCGCAACACTGATCCTCACTTTGACATCTGGTTCAGACCTCTAGCACTACATGTGGGCAGAAAATGAGCGTTCAGTTATGCACAGTTTATTTTTGCGGTGAAAAAAACCCCTGTATATTCTTTTGGAAGACACCCAGTACTACTTTAAGAGGGTTTAAAAAACCTGCGCTTTACTTGAGGTATATTCCTTAAGTATTCCCTTGTACTTCACTTAGAAGTAGTTTTTCTGGTACTTTCCGAGGAAAATACAACTCCAGACTTCAAAGTACATTCCCTAATTTGATCTTGTTAAATTTGTATCACAAAATGATGCTTTATCAACTTTGAAGCGATACTGGGAGGGATATTCTACTCTCAGTAGAAATGCGAGCAGACGACGCATCATTTATCTTGTCATTTCTCCGAGTGAAGTAATGGTGGCTATAAGACTGACTGCCTTATAAGCTGATTGTGTTAAAATTATTTGTTAGTGAGAGTAAAACAACTACTCTGTGGCTACCTAACTTTAACTAATATTCGCCGCCATTTTCGAAAATCTCCGACTACCGATTACGGTATGAAAGGGCACCATGGAAAGATTGTGTTAGAAAGAACTCATACTTGACTTTGAAAATATATACATTGTATTTATAGTACTTTACTTCAAGTACATTGCACACGGTGTACTTACAACTTTACTTAAGTACATAACCTCTCATTTACTTCGTACTTTACTTCAAGTACAATTTAGATACACTTTACCCAACACCGATTCCAGCCATGCTGACAAACTCGTAAAACTTTTTTTTTTTTTTTTTTTGCAGTGGGGGGAGATGCGTGCCAAACCAGCAAAAGGCTTTTAAGACGTCTAAGAGAAAAGTTCAAGCATCAACTGAACTCGCTGGCTTCCGTTTCAATTTCCAAATGCATGCTCCGAGTGCAGCACTAATAAAGAGTGCAAGTGCACAAGTTGACGCACAAAAGAATGAGTGGCTCCCACCTTTACACTTTAACCTAGACTTTGCAAAGATGGCCTCCAACGTCTCCTTCATGACGTCCACATTCTCGGGTGAGAAATCTCCTCGAGTGCACTTGTTTTGCACAAACACTGGAAAGAGAAACCGCCACAATGCTTTCGGGCTTACTTTGCCGAAAAGGCGCGAGTGCAACAGTGTTTAAAGCATAGAGCCGCGATACCTGACAACAGAGCCCAGAATGCATTTTCAGCTACCGCATCTTCGTTCTGCTCCGCGATCATGGCAACGCCACAACTGCGTAACGCTGCAAATCGCCGTGACCTCGGTACTAGCACATCGGTGGGGTAGGCTGCGCCGGCAACTGTCGTGCTGTAGCTCACTCCACAGCCAGCCAGTGGTCAGGAACTCCAGAGGTCATGGCGTGGCAAGCCGCAAAAACGGCGACACTTGCGTCCGCTCGTTTTCTTCACCAGCACTCCCGAAACCAACCGCCAGAATCACGACGACCTGCAGCGTCACCCGGCGGTTCGTGCAACACGTATCGTTTCTCTTTCGGAAACGCTGCCGACACTTAGGCAGAACAGGATGCCAAAAACACCGGTCTGAAATGCATTACAGGCACCGTGCCAAAAATGAAAAGAAAATAAATCCTGCTCCGACCTGCCGGAATTTCGCCCAGCAGACCCGGTCATTAATATACACGTCAAGATAGGGTCGCAACTCAGTATGCCGATGTGTCGCGGCACGAAGCATGCGGGGGAAAAAAAGCTCGCGCAGCCGAGTTTGAGATTTCGAGCTCGATTCGCGACTCCCTCGCAGTCTCGACATGGGCCCTGGCACCCTGTGCAACTACCAGAATCGCCCAGATGTAAACCCTGCACCCAGAAAGCCTCGCCATTGAAACTGCCAAAAGAATCAACTCACCCAAGTGGGGGAAGCTCTCCGCAACGTCCTCGTTCGTTAGTCCAGAGTCGTGAGAGCCCGAGGACGTGGCAGGCTTCAGCATCTCGGCAGAGAGCACAAACCTGAACAAGAGTAAAAAAACAAGCCCTTGCAGATGATCCCGCAGGGATATTGCACGTGCTACTAAGGTGAACGCTCATTAATTAGCCCCTCGTTATTTCAAATTTTGGGATAATTCGTACCGACTGCCATGGTCTAACCACGCAGCATAAAGGTCGACTGACAAAAGACACCGTTAATTTGCTCGAAAATGGACTCCACAATCAATGATTCCAACTGTGGGCCACCATAGGCACCTGTGCTGACCACGCACCCTGCATTTATTTTCTGGCCCCTTAAAGGGCAACTCTGCTTCATTTTTGATATTTAGAAAACTATGTAGCCCTCTTCAGTATCATATAGGAAGACCCCATGTCAAATATTACGATCTAATTCCGTCTATATATTTATTAAACTGGCCAGCAAACCTTCAAGCGAGCCAAGTCGCCGAAATCTGCCAACTCTAGCGTGCGGCGCGAGGCGCAGTCATCAGCGCAGTCAATGCCACGGAGTTGGAGCAGCCGACATTGAGCCACTACGTCAGAGGCATGACCACGTCATTCTCACGTTTTGTTTGTTTTTACTTCTCAGAGCGAAATTGAACGATGACACCGTGAGTTTCTCCTCCCGGTGTTGGCTGACCGGGCGTTCACGTGATCACCGTAACGCGGTTGCGCTAGTTTGCGCTGCCCTGCACGCTTATCGGTCTGTTTCTCCGCTCCCTTCTCCCCTTCCGTCTTCTCCCCTTCCCCCTCTCCCCCGGGCCATCACCGTCCACGCCATGCAAAGTGACCTGCCCGCGTCCAATAACAAAAACAAAAAACAAAAAAAAAACACCTGCTTGCGTCGCGTGTCCTGTTTCTCGCTCCCTCCCGAACGTCACAAGACCACGTGGTTCGACGTGACGTGGCCATGGCTCTGACGACACGAGACCAATGTTGCCTGATGCCACCGAAGTTTCGGTATCTGCTGATGTTTAAATTAGGATTACACAAATAATATTCCACATTTCGCGAATCCGAAGACGTAGAGTTGTTTAGTAGTGCTTTGTGAATGTGAATCACATGGAAGCCTTAATTTTTCGGAATTGAGCAGAGTTGCCCTTTAAGCAAAGAGTGTGGAGACCCCTGATCTAAAGCATTTGAAAAGATTTCTCATTGACCCTTTTCGCACAAACTCAGTACCCTCAACATTACTACTCATATGCTGACTTGGATCAACTCTTTCAAAAATAGCGCTCTCACTTCCTTTGTGTCAGCGGCAGTAACTCAATCCCCTCTCCGTGAATTCTGGTATCCTCCCAGGTTCAGTACAGTCCAACACACTTTAACGAACCCGGGTATAGTATAACATTGGGCATAACTAATGTTTGTTTCATGCTACTATTTGTTTAATTTTCAATGCGATGCGAGCCTTTTTTAATGAAATAAAATCGAAGTAGGGCTGTGAAGGTGGATATACCAAAAAAATGTTCCCAGAAGCAAAAAAAATATTTAATGAAAATGATTGAGGACTAAAGCACCAGGTGGAGAGGAAAAAATTAAATGCTGTTTCTCATATTTTGATGACGGGTGATGTTTCTCCAAGAAACTTAATGTGCTCTCTGCACGCAACAGGTCCGGCCGGCTCTGTCGCATGCCATGCACAATCTTGGCAACACTGCGCTGGAAGATGGGAGACAGAGCGTGGTGTGGAGGGGAAGGTAAGGGGGGGTTTGCATGGCTGACCGGTCATTCCCTATTCGGTCGTTCCGTCATTTTAGTTTTTTCAGTTCACGCGCCCTGTTCATGCCACACGCCTCCCTTTTTCGGGACAGACACAAAGAATGTAGGAGATTGTATTTCAGAATGTAGGAGGTTGTATTTCAGATTTTGCTTTTGCGAGCAAAACTTCAAATGACTGGCAACATTGGTCGCCCAGGAGGGATCTGATGCGAGACACAAAGCCTTTGCCCATCTTTCCAAAAGTGGGCGCTTCTAGGCGCTTCTCCCCAAGGTGGGAGACTGTAAGTGACGAGGCGGCTACAAAAAAAAAGTTCCCCCTTGCTGTGCTAGTGCGGCATATGCAGTGGTACACAGAATGTGAAAAGTTAGCAGATAAACTGTGTACAGATGTAGAGGTGGGATGGTGCAAATGGCAGTGCGTATAATCTTTTAGTTTAGAATAAAGAGGCACAGGTGGAGCGGTGCGCACCACCCGAGTGCCAGCTGCTCGCTGTTTACCCTGAGTTGTGGAGTGCGTGTATGGGGTGGCGACGTCTAATTACATTATGAGGAGTTCGAAAAAGTAACATACCACGTCACAGTCATTCCGTGTACAAGAGTTTGCAAGACGTGCTGTTGTTTGGACTACAAGTGTGCACAAGCTTATGAAGGCACCTCGGCACCAATAGTAGTCACTGCACTCGACGAATAGCATCCTTGTCCCCATTGCCAAGCGACTGCACAGGGCATGCCATGTGCAGTGTGTGCGTCGGCGCTGCCTTGGTGGTCTTTGCTCTGCTTTTTTTCCACTCTCTCTCGCGCTTTTTCTCTTGAAAGCCCCGAGCGTGCTTGTTTCACGAAACAGAGCGCCGCAGTATGTCTGAATATGCAATGTTTTTCCCCCCTCGGGAGTAAGACGTTTGGCTGGCACCAGCGTCCAATTACCGTATTTACTCGAGTAATAGCCGCACTGTTTATGAAGAAAACCTGAGGGTTCGCTTTTTCGCGGAGCATGCAGATTACCAATCACCGCGATCGACAGCATGATTCCAGCTGTTTACCGGACAGAGATAATGTCTTCGTGCAAAGATACCATCTGTGAAGATTGCATTTGCATGGAGAATCGTGTTCTCGATCTGGTTATTCGCTATGTTATTTATGCACAACGCAATGATTGACTCTATATGTGTTCTGTGGGAAAGTTGACGAAGAGCCTTGTTCATAAATAGTGTGGTTATTACTCGAGTAAATACGGTAGTGAGAAGACGAGCACTGTGCCAGCGTTCGACTGGAAGTCGGCTTATCAACTTTCGTTCCTGGTTGGGGAACGAAATGAGCTATGCGCCAGCCAAATAACACATTCTGTGTTAAGAAATAGGGTGCCTTTTTCGTCCACAATGTGCACACTCGTGCAATGAAGGCAAAGTGGTGCCGTTACAAAACTAAGGATGATATGTAACGACATCATTTTGCACGCATTGTGCAAACATGCTACAGCTATCACTTTTATTTCTTCACATATTGACAAGAAAACCTGCGCCGACGCAAGCTAAGGCGAAGGCTTTCCCATTGTTGTTGAGCGGTGAAGGGAGGAGGTAATGCTGACATTCAGCAATAACAGGAGAGGGAGACACGTGCAGAGAAACAAGGCGAAGCTCAGGTGCAAGGTGACGAGTTTTGCAGGACATATTTGACGTTTCGAGTTGCGTTCAAGCAGCAGAGAAGTTATACTGTACTGAAATCAACGTGGTGGAAGTTTCTAAAACCTACCGTCATTATGAGAGTACCATTTGTAAACACCTGTTTTGAAGCTATCATTACCAGCCGACCATTCCTCGTCGTCGTACCGTTATCGAAGGGTCGTCGGGGCCGTTCTATCTTCCCTTTCTGCTCAGTGCGGCCAATGGGAACACCCGACTTCTCTCTCCTCGCGCCATGAGAGGAGCGAAGGATTTTTCGTTCTCCGCCACGATGACAGACTACAAACGCCAACACCGAAATCACCGCAAAGTGTCGCCGATAAAGCTATAAATTTAAAACAAAACACAGAATGCTAGTCGCCTGTGAAAGAGCAAGCTCTAACAGATCAGCTCTGGGAAAGCAAAGCTCCAGAAGACCTTTGCCAGACTCCGCAACGCGCATGCAATCCTGCCTTGTCCGGTGGCTCAATACTCCCACTTCCATTAGTCTATTTTCGCATTGATAATCGTGTGCCGTACACGGCATGCTTGCAGCGCACAATGCAAGCTTTGCACCATTTTGCACTGGCGTACACATTGAGCTTCACCATTCCGCATCGGCGTGCTAGGAGCAGTAGCTGTCACGAGGGGGCATTTGGGTTAGCTCGATAGGCTCTATAATTTTGCGTGTTTTTAAAGGGACACTGACACCCGCCAAAAATTTTTTTTTATTTTTTTGCCAGGCACTTTATTATGGTGTCGGAGGACTACCCAATTAATATTTTGCAACAGAGTAGCGTATTTTTTTAATAAAGCCAAAAGACGCAACTGCTCGAAACCGAAACCGAAACCCGACGGAGGTCGGCGAAGTGGAGAGAAGAGAGTGGAGTGGCGGAAGTCACGTCGCTACACCCGACCGTGCGCTTTTTTTTTTTGTGTGTGTGTTTTTGTTTCTCCTCTCCGTAGCAGACGACACGACATGCGGCGTGCGATGCGGCGTGCGGGAACTGCTCGCCCTGCGATTCTTTTGCAGTTATGTTTGTTCCGCTCGTTGTTCTGTACTCCAAGATGAGTTGTTTTGTACATTGAGGAGCTGGAGATGAGTAGTGAGTGTTCGTGGCGAATTTCCATGATCGGCTCCAAAAAGAATACACCCAAGATGTTGCGTGAAGAGCTGGCTCACCTGTCCTACATCCGAAACAGAAGTGGCATTGTGCGACAGAGTTTCCGAAAGATCAACGGGATCGGGACCAATGGCTGGCTGCAATTCCTGTAGAACATTTACGGGCACCTCGGAAAGCAGACGCTACTTGACTTATATGCTCCTTGCATTTTGTGGAAAGTGATTACATTGAGTTCGCAGGTGTCAAAACGAAAATCCCATACCATTTAATTCAGCGAAGTATCGTCCACAACATTTGTTTGTTATTTTTTTGTTTGTTTCTTCAATGATGATTGTAAAAGAAAAAGAAAAAGATATGTAAACATCAAAAAATGTTTGACAAAAAAAAATTTTCACGGGGGATTGAACCCGGTCCTACCACGTGTGAACCGGACGTCTTTACCACTGAGCTACTGGGGCATCTCGATTCTGGAGGATCTCTTCCCTTAGGAATAATTCAGCCGGTAAAGTGTGAGTTG